AAGCATTTCAACAGTGCTCGTGTGAAATCAGATGAGCACTGTTGAAATGCTCGCATGTTTTTGCACGAGCACAAAAATTTAATTTTTATTTTTTATTTTTTATTTTTTTTATTGGGTAGGAATAGTACAAAAGGTAAATAGTTATGGTAAAAAAGTAAAAAATCATGGTAAAAAAGTGCCTGAATGTTTAATTTGGCCTGCGTATATCATTACCCGTGAATCATCGATCATATATTAATATAATAATACTATATCCGAATTAATTAATGCATGCAAGTATCCTTAATTTTGTTTAAGTTAATTTGTCTAGCTAGTATGGATATATGCTGCCTATATATATAATTGGCAACCTATAATATTTAAGTACGCATGTCGGTGCTTCTCTTTAATTAATTCCGACATAATTTTATATAACTTTTCCATTTTATCTGCATGCGCTGGAACATACTCCTATATATATATATATATATATATATATATATATATATATATATATATATATATGTAGGAATATTATTGAAATAAAGTGTGCATGGCTGCAGGCAGCAGTGAGCAGTGTCATCTGTCAATTATTAATTAGAGAAATATGTAGTTATGTGGGTTTTCTATCTATTAGTAACTAGTAAGAGAAGCCAACACAGAATTGATCTCTTGATGAACTTGCCTCGAAGCTCCTCCGATCCCTCCTTTAATTTGTCTTTTTATATCAGAAATAATAGACATGCCTTTTTTTGTATTTATTATTTCATCATCATACTAATCACTGATCCAGCTCACTGGAAATGTTTCCCTTTGGCTTCTTTTTCTTCAATTCACTTATTAATTAAAATTCTGCTCCTTTTGTTTGAGTTCGCAAAACGTAAAAATCGTGCAAAACGAACACTTATCAATATAACATCTAGTACTAATAAAAGAATTGAATGTGGTATGTAACGTTGTTGTACGGTAGAAAGTAGAAGAAAAACGCCGAAATTAAACATTTATTGTGAGTCAGGAAAGTTAAGGACATTAATTTATTAGAATAAATAGAGGAATTAATTGGGTTATATATATGGATCGGAGTATTTCATATGAAACTTCCTTATGCGTTTGTCAATCACAATTCATTGGAAAATTGTTGGTGTAATATGTCCACTTGCATATATTAATCCCTTATCTCTCTCTCCTATTATCCACCAGCACCCCACTCTTGTCTTTCTATATATAGATTTGTTTTGAACCACATTAAACATATACTAATACTTTTTTGCGGGTAAGAGAGATCTCTCTATAGACAGAGAGAGGCAAATATGTGTTTCTGTTTCATTATTTCAGGAAACGAATAATTCTTTCTACATTTGCCCCGTTACGTTGTTGCTGCTCTTTTCAGCTCATCTTTTTTGTTTTTTTGTTGTTTCGTATAGATTGGTTTTCAATCACATTGCATTTCTCTATCCAACATTCTTGCCTTCAGTCGAGGTAAACTTTCGTAAACATCCAATCCATTTCAGTTATTCATATTCTTTTTTTTTTCTTTATCAACGTGTCATTTACATTGCTGTATGTCATGGAGATCAAATATTGATGAAACCCCTCGCATTGTTGTTTTTATATTATATCGGACCTCGCGCATTTGATAGAAATGTTGAGTTTATTTATTTATTATTTTTAATTAGGATGCTCCATTTGGTCTGCTAATTTGTCAAGCCTTTTATGTTCAGAATTATATTTAATGTGGATATATATATATTTATGTTAAATGATATTTCATCAAACATTTGTTCTTCACTGTATTGTTATTTCTCAAACAGGCTAAAAGTTATCACTAGGCAATACCTGATTTTCTATTATTCTGATGTTTCTTTTTTGGGGCAGGCTGCTGGTAGTAGACCCCAGTGGTTTCGAGGAGGAATGGGAATGACATTTTCCTGTCCACTTGCTAATTTGGATGATTTTGATACTCAGTTGGAGTCTTATTTAGGCAGATCCGTTAGTTTCGAAGGTGAAAACGAAAAGATTTTACGATCCGTTAGTTTTAGTGACAAAGATTCAGAAACAGCTGCTGCTAGGTTGAAATCTTTAGGTTCTGGAAACATGATTCTTAAAGGGTCCCTTAGCTTTCAAGGCAACGATTTGGAGGCCAAAATCTCGTTATCGAATGCCGAAGAGAACACTATGATCAGATCTTTCAGCTTTAGGGGCACAAATTCACCTTCAGCACAAGACAAAACTACAATTATACCTCTGATTGATGGTTCTGATGATGATGATACATTTAGACATCAAGCAGCTTTACGGTTGCAGAAAACATACAAAAGTTTTCGAACACGAAGGCAACTTGCAGATTGTGCTGTCCTAGTGGAGCAAAGATGGTTGGTTTTGCTTTAATTTTTAGCCTTTTGTTTATTCCTGTTGAGTTATCATTTTCATTTCATTATTCTGTTTTTTTTTTTTTTTTTTTTTTTTGTTAATGAAGGTGGAAGTTGTTAGATTTTGCTGAGCTTAAACGTAGTTCTATATCCTTCTTCGAGATTGAGAAACCTGAAACTGCTATATCCCGTTGGGCAAGAGCAAGAACCAGAGCTGCTAAGGTATACATACATGTTCATTTATTCCGTTTGTTTGAGACTGAGGGTTTCGTTACTTTGTTGATATAGGTGGGGAAAGGCCTGTCCAAGGATGATAAAGCTCGTAAACTTGCTTTGCAGCATTGGCTCGAGGCAGTAAGTTGCAAAAGAAATATATTTTTCTTTTTCTTTTTCTTTTTTAACAAGTTTCAACGATTCCTAATTCCGACACGTGTGTAGATTGACCCTAGACACCGTTACGGTCATAACCTACAATTTTATTACATCAACTGGCTCCAATGTGACAGTAAGCAGCCATTCTTCTACTGGTAAGATTTTATACAACTATTTTCGAAACCGATAATGGATTTGGTTGTTTCATTTGTCCGTTTACCATTCACTTAACTTTCAAGTGTAGGCTAGACATTGGGGAAGGTCGAGAAGTACATTTAGAGAGATGCCCTCGATCAAAACTTCTACAGCAATGCATAAAATATCTCGGTCCAGTAAGTACCCACCATAGAACACATGTTATGAATGCTTGTTTATCTCATCAAATATTTAATTGATGTAATGATGCAGACAGAGAGAAGCGCATACGAAGTTATTGTAACGGAAGGAAAGTTGATGTACAAGCAAAGTGGGAATCTTCTGGATACAAGAGAAGGAACAGAAGATGCAAAATGGATATTTGTTCTGAGTGTGTACAAGATCTTATACGTGGGGCAGAAGAAAAAGGGCACTTTTCAACATTCGAGTTTCTTGGCTGGTGGTGCAACTTTATCTGCTGGCCGTTTAGTTGTAGAAGATGGTGTTCTTAAGGCTGTTTGGCCTCACAGCGGTCACTATCTCCCGACAGAAGAGAACTTTGAGGAATTTATGGCGTTTCTTTTGGAACACAATGTTGATCTCGCTGCTGTTCAGGTAAGAACTAAATCAATGCATGTCTCAAGGTTATTGCGATTTTGATCCTAAAATCATATAAAAATTTGTTGTGCAGAGAGCACCAGGTGGTAATGAAGAAGAGGAAGTGAGCATTGGGTTTATTCGAAATAGCATCTCGGTACCAAATCTGAGGAGCAACGAAGAAACGGAGAAGAATGAGAAATACTGTAAAACAGAAAACATAGTAATATCAAGATGGGCAAGGAGACTACACTCGAAAATCGGACAGCTACAAATCCCAGACAAGGACAGCACCATCGTTGAGCTGTTCTTGACTCCAAAACCAGATTCTCCTTTTCCGGAAAGTCCGTGCGAAGATGGTTACGAAACAGCAGACGAGTACTTATCAGACTCTGAATTTTCAGTGTCGAAGCAGAATCTGTTCGACCGAGATCCAGAAGAAGAGTACGAGGAGCCAATCCCGAAAGAGAAAATCATAAAGAGAATAAACTCGCATAAAGGGATGAAGTCTTACCAGTTGGGGAACCAGCTGTCATGCAGATGGACAACGGGGGCGGGCCCACGTATAGGGTGCATGAGGGATTATCCGTCGGAGCTACAGAACAGGGTGCTTGAGGAGGTTAGTTTGTCTCCGAGAAGTGCGTTTTCATCTCCGAGAAGAAGTTGTCTTAGGCCTACTACAAGTTCAAGGAGAGAGAGAAGCCCACTTGTTACAAAATTTGACGGTGAAACTGTAATAAACGAGCAGTGATAGATCGTTGCAATTCTTCGTCGTTACTGTGCAATTTCTTTATTTTGTTGTGCTTCTTTGTGGTAGATAGCTGGATAGGTATTTGTTAGGTTTTGATTTTCTGTGTGTGTTTGTTTGCTCCATGTGATAAGGGGATTCGAGAATATTTTGAAATATGCAGAAATATTATAGATTTTGCTCTGATATAGTAATCAGACATTTTTAAGATTACAAATACTACAAAAAATATCGAGCACTCTAGCCAATTACTAGATGAAAGGGAATAATATGTACTCGGCGTAGAACAGATTCCATACAAAACGATAATAATCGGAGATTGCTTCCTGCAAGATTCAAATATTTGTGAATTAAAGATCAAATGAGGTCATTATTCCTGATGAGGCTGAGTCTGCATAGTTACTTAAGAAAAGATCGATAGTTGAGCATGGAAGAGAAAACGAAAATGTAATAATAAGAGGAATTATAATACCTGGGTATATTTTGCTCTTTCCAATACCCATGCCTGCAAGACAGAACAAAACCAAATGATTAGAAATATGATGTAGAAATGGGTAAGCAAGAGTAACATAAAACACACTTGAGCCGATAAATTTTGTATGTTCAGGTAACCGTATATATATAAGCAATACTTAATATATTACCTGGAAAGTTAAACCTAATGCCAAGATCACATGTGAAGGTATCATCAAGCTTCTTTTAAAGGCCTGCAATATAATGTTAATTACAATGGGTTATTTATTGTGTTTTTTGAATTATTACTGATGGAAGACGAAACAGTTACCTGAGGCATGTAAATTGCTGCCAAGACAGAACCAATGTAATTTACCAACAAAAGTCCAGTTCCAAGCAATGCAATATTTCTCACACCAAGCTTTGTTGCCAACGTAGATATCTCAAACCTATCCATTTGTATCGACATTGCAGAAATAAATCTTGGGAAGGACATATAGTAGAATATAATGGCAACCCACTCTTCCAAAAATATAGTCAATAATAAAATAAAAACAAAAATGATGTCTACATGTTAAAAAAGAAGGCTCTAAAACTTACTTGCGATCACCTTCAACATCCGGAAGATCTTTAGTTATGGCAATAACAAGAGCAAATAATGTTACAAATGTGGTGATGAAGGCAACTGGTGAGCTGCAGTTGTCATATATTCACATCAAAATCATAACACAATTCAGAAAACAGGCCAAAAAAAAAAAACACTTTTTTCATATATTTATTTACCTCCATTCAAATGTTAGACCAAGCGCAGATCTTACGGCATAATAGACGCCATAGTTGAGGAGGAATCCTCGAACCTGCAAAAATGGTTCAATGCATTTTTATTTCTATCAAAAAAAAGTTCATAGCATCATACATTAAAAAAAAAAAAAAAAAAAAAAAAAAGAAAGAAAACCATACCGTGGCAATTATAAGAAATGCTACGACAGGAAATCTCTTCATCCGAAAAGGGGGAACAGAATAGATAGTGCCAAGAAAAAGACCAAGGCAGTAAAGAGAAGTAATGAAAGGCCCAAAATTCAACGAGACTATTAGAACCCCAGCAACGGCAAGCAATAACACTAAAAACCATGCAGTACTTTCTGACAAATCTCCTGCAGCTATTGGCAAGTAAGGTTTATTCACCCTGTTGGAAGGGGGAAATATTAGTATATACAGCAAGTAAAACTAAAACTCCGGGGTATAAAAATACAATACGCAAGGACTGAAATTAAAGCTACAAAGTGGTGTGACTTACTTGTCAATACCGACATCATAAATCTGATTAATGCCCACTATGTAACCATTTCCACAAATGAGTGCTAAAAGTCCAGAAAATGCTTTGAGGAATAATGACCACCTTATCAGATTCGGGTTCTCAATTAAAGCTCTGGTCACTAAAGAACTGTCACAAATACACGATAGAGCTGCTCAGATGTTATTTTATTTATATATAAAGAAAAAAGATAATAATACTTGGTAAAAGTCGGGGGATTCGTTAGAAACAGATAATGATAATTGCTCACAAAGATCCTAGAGTAGTTCCACGAATGGTGTGGGGCCTGAGAAACCGCCAGAAGGCATCCCGGAACTGGATAACTTTGCTCAACAGTGGATCATCAGTTCCAGCAGCATCAACTTTAGAGCAGGCCTGACAAATTAATCTTTCATGTAAACTCCGTTAATAAATATTTGTATGTTGTATCACCTATTTATTTATGTTACACAAAATGCTCGTATCAAGCTACATGTAATTTATTTATTTATTTGACAATGTTATTAATCAGAGACAACACAAATTAAGTGAAATCTCTAACTTAAAAACATCACTCCGACTCCCAATTAGAAACTTGTCAGGCTTTCAACAACCTAAACGCATTAATTAATTCTGGAATTGTGATACATTTCGCACTGGGATTTTGACATTGCATGCGAAAAAAGACAAGATCGAAATTTGAATAGAATAAAAAAAGAAAAAAGTGAAGAATTGAACATACCCAGATGAAAGGGCGGCGGCGAAGGCGAATGTGGGATGCGGTTGTGGTGGAGAGCCTGGCGTGGAAGTTGTTGGAGAAATCGGGGAAGGAGCGTGGGGGAGTAGTGAAATGAGAAGGGAGGAGCAGCAGCTTGGTTTTGGAATGAAGAAGAGAAATCTTATTGGGGAGGTTGGAGCAAGAAGATGATGAGATAGCAAGCTCCATGGCCGTTCAGTTCAGAATGAATTTGTGGATGTTATTTCAATTATTAATTTATTCTTCTTCTGCCTCCTTTTTTTTCTTTCTTTTTTAATAATTTTATTTATATATTCACATATCTTTTGCCTTTATGGGCTTTTGGGCCTGGTTTATAATTTTATAATTTTATTGAATAGATAGAGAAGCCCATCTCACTACGACGTCGTTAACCCAAAAAGTCTGATACTATTGAAATATACCCACCCCATTTCCCAAAGGGAATTGCTATTACCGGTTTATAAGAAAAAAACACTTTATTTCTCTGAAACTTCAAAACTTTCTAAAAAAATCCAAACACCCCCCCCCAAAACACGTAAAAGCCCATTTATGCAGTGCACCCCCAAGTTGAGCGTGCACGGCATGAAATTGATTGGGGCGTTCGTACACGCCTTGGGCGCCCATCTTGGCGTTCCAATAACATGTTTTTGCGAAAAAAAACCCTACAAATCGATTTGTAGGGCTTTTTAACATGAAATTGGTTCCGTAATCGAACTACCCAATTGATGATGCTAAAGTTTAGATCACCTGGGGTAGTGTAGAAAACTAGCTGGGAGAGCAAAGCGGATCAGTAGCTCGATAAATTGATGAGCACACGTGAACTAAGCCGGGGGTTGATCCGGCAGAAACCCCTCCGATGCTCAAATCAGATATACGGATCGTGGATGTAGTAGAGAGAATAAAACTGTAGATTATTCGTGAGTAATAGAACGTACCTTTTCAAATGAGTAAAACATTTATTTATATGTCGTTGATTGGGTTGGGCTTACTTTGTTGGGCCCAAGCCTTACTTTGAAGGTGCTTAGGCTTTCGTGTAGTGGGCCCAATTGCAAGTGATTGGGCTTTCGTGATTTATCTGAAAATTAGGGCCCATTGGGTCGGCCCAATTAGGTATATCGTTAAGTCCCCCAACTCTCGAGTCGAGATGGGAGACATATTAGGGGAATTCGGCTCGTGTCGAGAGTTTTTTGTGTCGTGGCTTGAATAGTTTTCGTTGGCGTTGAATTGATCTTCTCAATTTAAATAAGGGATGATTATATTTATTTGGCAGCGAGGTATATATTTAAGGGTTTTAAATAATATACCAGGGCCAGATAAATAGACTCTTTTTGCGGTGGAAAGAATTAAACTTCAACTCCTGCGTAATAAATATGGGTATGTATTTTTAACTTTAGGTCTTCTTCTGTGCTATCTTCTTTTATTCTATAGCGGTAGAGTAGAATTTTTTTGTTTCTTGATTGTTCTTCGGGGAAAAATATTTCTCATGTCGAACCTGGGTGATTCGAAATCTCTGCGAATTAAACTTCGAAATCCGGTTGAAAGGGGCGAGAAAACTTTTGGTACGGTGGGGATGGAACGGGAGAAAGTAGTAGTATTGGGTGCGGAAGTTGGATCTGCGGCCGGCGGGGTAAGTATTGATGGGAGAAGGGGGGTAGAACGTGGCTCGGACGCGGATATAGGCTTGAGCCGCGTGGCTAGCCGGCGAAATCTGTGTGGGAGCGCGCGCTTCGAGGCAGAGCTTGAGCCGAGTGAAGCCGTGGTGTCGGCGGCTTGCACGCGGACCGAGGAGAAGAGAGAGGGTGAGAACAGTCCACGTGGGGTAGGTGCTGACGCACGCGCGCGTCGGGCACTTTTCCCGAGAGACGCGCGCGCGCGTCAAAAATGGGGGAGGAGAGTGGGCGCGCGTTGGGTGTGGGGCAACGCGCGCGGGGCATTGGTCCGTGCACTGACGCGCGCGTGGGGGGTTTGGGGCAGGAGAAGGAATTGGTGGTGACGTGCGCGCGCTGCCCAATAAAAGCGCGCGTGCGCGCGCGTCATTGGGGGGATCTGGCGCGTGAGCGCGCGTCCGAGGAAGATAAACTCGCGCGTAAGGGCGCGTCGCCCGAGGTGACGCGCGCGCGTGAGGGCGCGTCCGGACCCTTTTTTCGGCGCGATTCGCTCGAGCGGGTCGGGCGACATGAGGGGCGATTCTACGTTGAAGATGATGTGAATGTGCAGAGTTCCGTAAGGCGAAAAATCATTGAATCTTGGAGTGACGATGTAGAAACGAGTAATAATGTTAATATTTGCCCCACTGTTGACGAAGTGGGTCCTAGTAGACGTCGTTATAGGCGTCAAGTCGTGGATTTTGGGAGTGATAGCGATGATTCGAATCAAGCACCTTCGGCGAGTGATCATGCGGTGCCGAGTAGTGAAGTTGATCCGATGGTCAAAGTGGAAGAGGAAGATGACATTCCGCCGGGTGATGTTGAGATTGATACGAGGAGGCAAAAGAAAATTAAGCCAATTAATTTGGACTTAATTAATTTTGATAGTGTATTGACAGAAGAGCATTTGCAGTCTATTCGTCGTCTGGTTGGAACGCCAAGACATATCGAGTTGTTGTTGCCTCAGAAGGGCGGCCGTTTGTATTCGCCACCCGATGGGTTTCATACGGTTTTCTTGGCGTACGTGACGTGTACATCTCAGATTACTCCGCATCCGACCTTGTTGAAGATTTGCGAGGAATTCAAGATAGGGTATAGTCAGCTAACCCCGACTGCGGTTCTTATGTTCGAGGCGTTTCACCATAGAGTCTCTCGAGTAGGTTTGCCTGTTACTGTGAGTCTGTTCAAGGCGTTATTTACGTTACATCGGCCCAATAAGCTGTCTTTCTTTTGTGTTCATCCTCGCGTCCCCTACCAATTTTTGAAGAGTGTGAAGTTATCCTTGGGGGAATGGAAGTCGCGTTTCTTTTATGTGAGGGCCCCCTGTTTCGACGTTCCTCTAGTTTGGAAACCTTCGTGCGAGAGTTTCAAGATTACCGCGAATATAGCGAAGAGGATTGAAGAGTCTAGGTTGTGTGATGTGGAATTTGATCCGAGGTGTTTGATACCGAAGACGAAGGGTCAGCACCGTATATCCTTTTGTTGCATCGACTTGGTTTATTTATTTTTTTTTTTTTTTTTTTTTGGTGTAGTGCTTTGGTTGTATATATCATGTCTTTTATGTGGTTGTTTTCTTTTGTAGATGGGGGTATCACCTTTGCGGCAATTCGAGCTAAGGCGAATGGGACGTCGAAGAAGGCATCGAAGAAGGTTTCCTCTACGTTGGGAGGTTCTTCGGGTTGTTTGCCTCGAGAGACAGTCCATGTAGAGACTCCTCGAGTTATTGAAGACGACCGTAGCTGTGCTGGTGAGGTGGAAGGGCGTACACCTACGAGAGATCGTGGCAAGGGAAAGAGGGTAGATACTGAGTATGTGGCTGTGCCAAAGCATCCACGGGTAGACCCAGAGGAGACTTATGCTTTCCATGGTGGGGCAGGGAAACAGTTGTTTACCTTTGGCGTGAACCGTGAAGGGAAGGAATCGTATTGGGATGTATCGGACCATGATTTGCCGATGTTGAGCACCGAGGGATTCGTTCGGGAGTACGACCTGTTGGGATTCGGGCACGCATACGCAGCGGAAAACAAAAATTCATGCGATTTAAACGACTTTAAAGCACATAAGAACATGCCCGACAAATTAAATTCAATTAATTGCGTACCTTTGCGCTTCCAGCGAAATGAAATAACAACATACATGCTAATTATTAAACCGAATTTAAATCAATTTAACATGCTCGCGTTTAAACCAAATAACATGCTTGCAATGATTTAAAACGATTACACATAATCACATAAAATCATACGATAGCAAACATGGATACATAGTCTAAACGTAAACGAATCGAAACAAGGGATTGGTGTGTTTACCTCTTGAAGCGTGAGGTAGGAGCGTTTAACAAGTCGAGATTGCTACGGAAACCAATCCGTACAATCGGGGCAGCAGCGGTGCAGCGGCAGCGGCGATGAGATGGCCACGGCGGCGCGTGAGTTTCACGCGCGGACTTCCGGGGCGGCGCGTGGGGCAGCGTGCGGCTTCGGCTCGTGCGCTGCTCCTCGATTCTTCGATCTTCGATCTTCCTCCTCTCGGATTTCACCTCGTATACTTCGATCTACTAAACACGTGGCACTAGACACGTAATAGTTAGAATTAACGGAAGAAAAAAGAAAGAAGGAAAGAGTACCGAAAATGATCGGCCAATAGATGGCCGATTCCGGCGACGGAGAGGCGACAGCGGCGCGGTGGTGGCCGCGGGGGGGAGTGGCCGATAGAGAGAGGTGGACGGCTAGGGTTAGGGTTTTCACTTGTGTCTTTGTGCAAGGCCTATAAATCAAGTATTTATAGTCCCTTGCATAAAACCCTAACGGGCTTAAGTTGGACCGGGCCCAACAGCTTAAGCTCGTTAGTTCCTTTACTTGCTCGTCTCTCTCAATTCAATGATCGGAAAATTGCAACAATTACATTTTCGGAATCATTATAATATCCTCGTCATTACGAGTGCCATCTTTCATTTTCCAACTTTCCAAAAGTGGAAACCCTAGTTCAGTGCTCTTTCTAAATTTGGAAACTTCCCGATTTAGAAAGTTCACTAACACGTTCGCCTATTCTTTTCCTTTTCTTATTCTCATTCGTAATTCCAAATTACGAATGTTGGATCCAATCATATTGACTTCCAATCATGCAAAGATAAACTATTTTATCTCTGACCGTTTATTCAAAGATCTCATGTGCACGAGCAGTGTGACCCTCGATGGTTCAGGTGTAAGCTAGCCGTGGGCCCACAACTCTTTGTGGTCAAAACTCGTCCCTTAGAGTTACGATTAAGATGAAGCTCGTTTCACCTTAATCACCCAACGAATCAAGATTGGCGTCTAACAACTACGCGTCATGATTCCCTAGATACAAATGAAGTGCCTGCAAGAACCTTCAGATATAGTTAACGTACAGTACGGTCCCTTCGATTCATATGTCCCGATCGAACTAGAGGCATTGGTTCATCGAGACCTCTTTATATGTTCAATGACGGTGCGATCGTTCTAAGTGTTGCAATCCTTACGTGCATGACTTAGAGAATCGAATTCTCTAATCATCACTTTAGTCAGCTCTGGCCAGAGACTTAGAATGATTACAAACTTTCAGAACACACAGGACATCCAAGACTATTCTAGCG